TATCTCTGAGAAAGCCTACATTATATTGGTTTCTATGATTATAAGATGTTAAATATCTTTTTAGTTTCAACTTGATTTTACTTACCACCAGGAAATGGTCAGTAAATACATCGGCACCTCTGAAAGCCCTAACATCGTAAAGGGATGATCTAAACTTTTTGTTAATACATATGTGGTCAATTTGATTAGTTGTCTTATGGTCTGGTGATTCCCATGTTGCCTTGTGTATACTTTTATGGGCAAAAAATACTTCCACCAATAACATACTGGTTACCTGCACAAAAGTTTGTGAACAATTCTCCATTTTCATTCATTACTCCTAGACCATGTCTCCCCATAATTTCTTCATAACCTGTGTTGTCTGATCCTATCTTAGCATTCAAGTCACACATCAAAATTTTTAAGTTGCACTTTCTTTCATTATTTATAATATTTTGAAGCTGCATGTAAAATTCTTCCTTAACAGATGCATCTTTATCATTTGTTGGTGCAAAACACTGTATTACCGAGATGTTCACCTTCTGTTTAACTGTTCTAAAAGATGCTCTTATTATTCTGGGACTCACAGCTTCCCATTCTATTAGTGCCCTGACTGCTTCTTTTGATATCATCAGGGCCACTCCCTCACTGTGTGGCGAATTTTCCTCTGTGTGTCCTGAGAACAAAATAGTTTCTCCTGAATTAAGAATACTTTTCCCTGCCCCCGTCCATTTAGTTTCACATAACCCTAAAATACTAATTCTATAATGTTTCATTTCCTTTGCTACTTCCATTGTTCTCCCTATATCATAGAGAGTTCTAACATTCCAGGTGCCAATTCTGGAGGTTTTCCTAGCTGAGAGGAGGTAAGTCAACGATCCGGACTCCTTACGGCTTTCTCCACACCGTGTCATACTTCTTCTATTTGAAGAGCCTCCCCTCATCTTGGTTGGCTGGATTTTATTTCCTTCTCTTTTTGACTTATCCATGGTTGGTTGGTTTTTGTGGCTATGGTTTTTACAGGATGAGGTAGCCAACCTCAAGCCCAACCCTACCCTTAGTCGCCTCTTACGACATGCCTGGTAGGGTGCAGTGTCACTATTATTTGCTTCCCGTAAGGGCCCCGGTGACATACGGGCGAAATTAGATCTAACCCACAGTATCTATTTTTTTTAAATAAATAATTACGATGTCAGTGAATTAGATCTAACGCACAGTATGTCTTTAAAATTACATCGTCGGTAAATTAGATCTAACGCACAGTATATTTTGTTTTAAAATAACGGTGTCAGTAAATTAGATATAACGCACAGTATATTTTGTTTTACAATAACGGTGTCAGTAAATTAGATATAACGCACAGTATATTTTGTTCAACAATATCAGTGTCAGTAAATTAGATCTAACTCACAGTATCTATTTGTTTAAATAAATAATTACAGTGTCAATAAATTAGATCTAACTCACAGAATCTATTTTTTTAAAAAAATAATTACAGTGTCAATAAATTAGATCTAACGCTCAGTATCTATTTTTTTTTTAAATAAATATTTACGGTGTTAGTAAATTAGATCTAACACCCAGTATGTCTTTAAAATTACATGGTCGGTAAATTAGATCTAATGTCCATTGAGTCTTGATAATTACGGTGCCAGTAAATTAGATCTAATGTCCATTGAGTCTTGATAATTACGGTGCCAGTAAATTAGATCTAATGTCCATTGAGTCTTGATAATTACGGTGCCAGTAAATTAGATCTAATGTTCATTGAGTCTTGATAATTACGGTGCCAGTAAATTAGATCTAATGTACAGTATATTTTATTTTACAATAACGGTGTCAATAAAATAGATATAACCCACAGTATATTTTATTTTACAATAACGGTGTCAGTAAATTAGATACAACGCATGACATATTTTGTTTTACAATAACGGTGTCAGTAAATTAGATACAACGCATGACATATTTTGTTTTACAATAACGGTGTCAGTAAATTAGATACAACGCATGACATATTTTGTTTTACAATAACGGTGTCAGTAAATTAGATACAACGCATGACATATTTTCTTTTACAATAACGGTGTCAGTAAATTAGATACAACGCATGACATATTTTGTTTTACAATAACGGTGTCAGTAAAATAGATCTAACACACAGTATCCTTAAGGCTGGACAGATTTATAAAAGTAAATACAACAAGGTCGCATACGTTGCATCCATGCTCGACTGTGCGAGGGACTGGTTACTGGCGGTTGACCTGCCTGGTTACAAATAGTACCCAAAGGTAATCCGGAAGACTGGCCTGCAACCCGACATAGTTCTACACTCTTCGGAGAAACGTCAGCTCATCCTGATCAAGCTGAATGAGTCGTGAATGGACGAAATCCACACGAACAAGCTCGAGAAGTACAGGGACTTAGCAGCTGGTCCGGGGAGAGACGAAGCGTACACAGTGAGAATCTTCGCCATCGAGGTAGGCGCAAGGAATTTCGTTTCCACTTTTATGTACAATGTGATAAAACAACCGAGCGCAAACGATCACAAAAACAACTGGGCGAGGCTGCATAAAGGGCCTCGAGCTTTATGTGGACACAACGAAACGTTGTGGAGGATGGGCCTGGGTGAGCTGGTCTGGATATCTTGTGGAAAAGAAAGTCTTATTCCTTAAAAGTCCATCGTGTCTGAATTGTCTGCCGGTGTCCCTTTGCCATCTGCCAACCAAGTCTAACATGTGTCTGATAAACCAACTATAAGCTTGCCACTTGGTCGTCTAGGTATGCAGACTGCTCTAATTATGCTACCGCAGCGACTATGTAAATACACTTCGAATCTCACAGTACCTTTTGCACAGTTAACAATTTCGTCTTGTCCCTGTCCGATAACATCCGGTAATACGTGCAGCAGGAGAAAATCAACCCTGAGCTTCATGAACTCGGGTGGGCCCACTCTCTGAAAATGTCTAGGAGCTCGTGGGCCGAAACATTTGTCGACGAGGGATCACTTCTACTGATGATTGGTAGACTCTGGCTGTACATGCTCCCTTGTGGAGTTTCCTCTTATTGTTTTACAATAACGGTGTTAGTGAATAAGATCTAATGCCCTGTATGTCTTATATACATTATTATAGTTTTCGTACATTAAATCTGACGCACAGTTAATGTTTTTTTTTTTCCGAGAACAATTAGAACATCAGTAAATTAAATTTAACGCACAGTATTTTTGTTTAAACATTTCACCCCAAGACAATTTGGGTAGCACTGTTTTGTATACTTTAAAAATCGTCATCATCGAATACCTTGCCGACAGGCGTGGAGGATCACACCTCTCCACAATCTGCAATCTGCTGCTGCGTGTATCAGTTCGTGTGTTGACACCCACGCCTCAATGCTATGACAAAAGGCTGCCAAGAATCTTCTTGCGATGTCTTCCTCTGTCTCTCCTTCCACAGATCTTTCCAGTTGTCACAACATGTTCCAATTTCCCTCTTCTCAAAACATAACCTAACAAAATTATGAATATATCTTTCTGATGTTTGCTTGTTGAGGGCGAACTTTAACTTCACTGGAGGTTAGCTGTTGGCGCCTGTTGGTAATTTGTGCGATCTTAAATCCAATCACAACACACCCAAAAGTGATCAGACCGATTGGTATAATTCCGGTTGTGTAGTTAAAAATGTGAGATATTACCTCATAAAGGCCACTTCTGAAATAATTATGACGAATATCAACATAATCAGTCAAACATAAAGTTACTTCGTCGACTGCAGAACCCTCCAACTGTTGACTTAGTGTTTCTTCAAAGACACATCGCGTTATAGAAACCAAATAAAAAAAGGATACGACGATTGTTGTACGCTGGGGAGTTAAGATCAAATACGCCTTAAGTGGACAAAATATTGCTAACAAACGCTCTCCAGTAATGAGAACAGGGTTGTACGATGTCATAGATGATCCTATTATATAAGCGCAGTCAAATATTGTCATTAATACGTGACTCATGCGATCGGTAGTTTCAGAACATTCAAAGTCTTCAGAATCACTGGACATGAAAATATAATAGGCCAAGTTGTTGACACCAACCACGTATAAAATATCAGAGGCAGCCAGAGAAAAGAGAAGTATACTTGAGCATTTTCTGATTCCCTTTCGAGTCAGGATGATGATGCTGGTTATATTGCCCGCTATTGCCAAAATGCTGACGCAAGGGATGAGCACACGGCGGAAAAGTAAAGTGATTGTTTCAGTGAGTTCCTCGCTGTGAAACAGTAAAGGTGTCAGACGGAAAGAATCTTGGGACGCGTTACTGAATATTGTTTCAAGCGTAAACGTAAATAGATCGCCAGCGTTGCCTAGGAGTAGCATATTGTATTCGCCGATGGGAGGGTGGTTCAGCAAGCAGAGGAGACAACCAACAGCTGAAAGCAAAGCCAGACTAGGTGGCTGGAGATTGCATGTCCACCCTTGATCAGATCAGGACCAGCCTCTGACGCTGAGGCTGCAGCCCACATACAGTCAGAATTTAACGAGTCTCTGGAGCTAACCCGATTACGTGATTTAAAATTGGAGCCTAGTGAAAACTGCCTATGTCGTTTTCAAAGTCAAGGCAGGAGCTATAGCAACCATACTATAGGAAGACTGAACACGAATTTGAATGTCCAAAGGGCAGTGGCGTCGAATATGATAACATAACACAAAGTCAAGCATGACCGAAAAATAGTATTATATACACATGCACACACCAATATCGTTCTCCTGACTTTTCAGAGAAAAAATAAACTCCCAAAAATCAAAGAGAAAACAGTAATGAATAGGTAATGTTAAATTAAAGGTTAAGCCAATTCCGCTGAAAGAGAAATTTCCGTTGACCCGGAAAATGAATTGAGGGGAATTTTAAACAATTTTCTAAAATAGCATCCGCTTACTTCTTTTTGAACGTCTTTACGTTCAGTGCAGAAATTCCACTTATCTTGGACGGTATAAATCTGTGATTTTCTCATCGGATGCTAAGAGCAAAGATTTGCCCAGAGTTGAGCAATTAGCTGATTGTTTTAATTTCTTAGTGAATAGTCAAAGAGAACAAAAACTAGTGAACGCAATGTAATTGTACCAGTCATTGTGAATATGTTTCGATGCAATGACATATTAAACCAGTTTGCCACTTTGTGCTTCGTTGCAAGTCGATTCTTGTTAAATGAAAAGTCGACATTTCAGACATAACTGTCCACGACCTGGGACAATCATTGTATTTTTTTTTTTTTTTTTGTGAAATCTCAGAACAAGATATGAATAAATAGTACGATGTCAAAAACTTTGTTCCTTTTTGTCCAAGCTAAAATGAGCAACCAAGATGTTGTTACAGTTTGAAAAACGGATCAACCTCATGGCACAAGGGTGGTAACCTATAAGTGTCACGCTCTTCTAACTCAAGACTGAGTCCGAAGAAGCTCAGCACAGTACACCGGCGAGGATCATGAAATACTTTGGTTAGATTTTTAACTCGAAGTTTTGGCCTGGCAGCGCCGTTAGGCTACTTTTTTTTATCGATTTCCAACTGCGCAACAATGCGCACAGGCGTCCGGTCTCAATACCCAGAGACCATGGGGAATTACTACAAGTCTCATTCCACGTGACAAAATTCAAGCCCTTATTGAGGATTGAACATGGAGCTTCTAGCACTCGAGGAGGACCCCCTGCCTGGAGACCACGCAGCCACCTTCCCCGATGTTGTGAAAGAGGCGAGTGCTCGAAGACAACTTATCGCAAACATCGGAAATGGACTGTCATAATTGTTTGGTCATGTTATGAGAAGAGTGACAATGGAACATGTTGTGACCACTGGAAAGATCTGTGAAAAGGGAGACAAAGAAAGACAGCGTGAGAAGATTCTTGACAATCTTTTGTAAGGGCATGGAGGGGTGTCAACACACGAACTGATGGACGCAGTTGGGGATCGCAGATTGTAGAGAGGCAAAAACTCCAACGCTAGTCGGCAGGACATTTGATGATGATTTCCCAAGCATGTGGGGGTTCTTCTTCTTCCTCTTTTCGTTCATCTGAATAACGTAACAGCCTGGTGCCTGTTTACAGACAAGCTGCGATATTTGCGCCTTTCCGCCGACACATCAGAATTCGCCGAAGATTGTTAACTTCCGAGTATGTGATAAACAATTTCTTAAGGCCACGAAGCAGGAGGGTCCCAGATGTTTTAGAAGAGGTCACAACTTTAAGACGCCTTATGTTAAATATCAGAAAGTGGCAATTATCACTGTGTAGTCATCTTATGAGAAAAATAAAAATAAAATAAAATGTGACCACTGGAAAAAGAGACTGAGGAAGGTAATGCGAGAAGTGACTTAACAGCCTTTTGTCATGAGATAGAGAAACTGATACAGACTGTTGGAAATCGCAAATTGTGAAGAGGCATGAACAACCACGCCAATCGGCAAGGCACTTGATGATGACCATGATGTGTCGTTCAGGTGGAATGAACTTTAACCTTACACTTATAATGCGTAATACACATTCTGTGAAGGAAAACTAAATGTACGACTGAAGAGGGAAAATAAAGAGAGGAAAAAGTGTAGACTAAACAAAAATATTCCAAGACGATAAAGACATTCAGGAGCGATATAGAGTGGTTGTGAGAACAGGTACAATGCAATACCAAAAATACTAACGATAAATGATCAGTGGGAAATACTGTGAGATTTTATCCATCAAACAAGCAAAGAGATTTTACCAGAAAGAATAATAATAATTTCTTTAGAATAATTAGAAGTACTGTGGGAATTTGGGGTAGAAATATTAACTGAACTGATGAATGACATTTATATCACTAGGTACATTCTAAGTGATATGATGAAATATGTATTTATTGCGTTACACAAAAGACCAGGAGCAATTGAGTGTGATGAATTTTGTACAATCAAGTTAATAAATAATGTTACCAAATTACTACTTAGAATTATAATGAAAAGAAAAAAAAAAAAAAAATAGAAACTAATGAAGAACAGTATGGATTTGTGGAAGGTAAGGGGTCCTGTAATGCAATATACATATTACGAACACTGATAGCAAGATCAATGGGCACACAAAAGGACTTATATTTGTGCTTTATAGATTCTACCAAAGCATTTGATAAAGTTAAACATGATAAAAATGTTGGAAGACATCAGTGTAGACGGGAAAGATCTCAGAATAATTAAAAAGATTTACTGGAACCAAGTAGCAGCAATTAAAGTGGGAAACAGATTGAGTACTTTTGAAAAGATAAAGCAAGGAGTAAGACAGGGATGTGTCGCATCCCCCGACCTTTTCTCTCTATATAGTGAAATAATTTTGAGGGAATTAAAGAGAATGCAGGAGTAAGAGTTGGAGGATACAATATAAACAATCTGCCTTACGCAGACAATATAGTTTTGATAGCTTGAAATGCAACTCAGTTACAACTGCTGGATATTGTTGGGATGGAGAGTGCTAAACAGCACTTTCACTGAATATTAAGATTGATTGATTTGATTGATTGATTTGATTCAAGAACCGACATCACAGCACCCGGGGCATTCCCATAAGCGCTCCGTCTCCATCTTCAGCAGCCAGCAAAGAGTTCCGATACTAATGGTGCCAGTAGCTTTCTGATTAAATGTCCGTCTTGCATTTCCTCTGAGCCTTGAGCTTCTGCCAGAACCTTTCGTCACCCCCAACTGCATCAATCTCACCAAACTGTGGTGATCCATCTGCTCCTCCGCATTGTACACGCTCTCCCACAAGGCACTAACCAAGTCTGCCCTACCATGTAGCAGTATTCCACCAAGTTGTGCAGAGCCAGCCAGTCTGTCCGCCTGTTCATTTCCCAACACACCAGCGTGACCCGGTGAAAAAATCCAGACAATACTCTTTACCCGTGTCCTCCGCAGCGAAGCATGCCACTCTGCACGAAGCATACCTGTTCTGATCTTCCTCAGCATTATATTAATACTATTAAGAAAACAGAAGTAATGGTTACATCAAAGAAGAATATAACTCCACGTTGTGATTTCTCAGTTAAAGGAAAAAGACTTAAGCAAGTGAATAAATTCAAATATCTGGGAACGATCATATCATCACATGGAAAATGTGTGACAGGGATTAAAAGCAGAATAAGTCAAGCAAAAACTGCACTTCAAAAAATGAACAATACTTCATGCAATAAATCGCTTACATTTAATTTCAGAAAGATGGTTTAGATCTAAGCACTCTTGACTAACTGCTTTGACAAAAATGACAGTCAACTGGCACTTTAACATCAACAACTGCAATATATATATCAGTTGATTATAGGAAAGCATATGACATGGTTGATCACCATATTTCAATTATTAAATTAAAAACCTTAAAAAACTAAAGACAATTAAGAAACATTAATGAAGTCATTTTTAGTAGGTAGTTTCCCTCAGTAACCGTTTTTCAAAACCCACACAGGTAAATATAGGCGTTCCTCATGGCTCAGTATTACGTCCACTGCTTTTTGTTACCTGTATCAATGATCTTTCATTACATCTCGGTATAACACTTGATCAGTTTGCTGACGACTGTACTACAATATGTACTAATCATGATAATTGTAATGAGCGAAACTTTCTTTACAGAAAGAAAGAAATAATCGTATAAAATGGAGCAATGATAATAGCATGCAAATTAACATAAATAAAATTAGATCCATGATATTAAAAACTAAGCAAAATCTACGAACATTGGTTTAAAAGAAGCAACTCTTTTTTTTTTTGACAAACTACCTAGTGTTAATGTAGTTGAACATATCTTATGCAGTGCGAGGTGGACTGTGGTGTGAAACCTTGGTTGGCTATCTGGATTGGGGGGGGGGGGGGCAGCATAGTTGGAAAGAACAGTGGTATTTTCTTTGGAAACATGGAAATCTAATCCGATACAAATCTGCCCGGTCTTCCTCAGGAATCACCACTGTCACCTGTCTCAAGTCTGAAACAAATACAGTCAGATGGACTTTGGCATTTGCAGACGATGTCCTAATGTATTGAAGCGAGCCAGACAAGCCCGATATGACCAGACTCTTGCAAAGTGTTCTGCAAGAGATGATGAAATGGTGTGAACAGGCAGGGTCAAGGGTGAACAGAGAGAAGGCCACTGTTTTGTGGTGCTCCTTAAAAAGCAGCATTGGAAAGGAAGGCTTGCCCAGCATATCCATGAAGAGTATATGTGTTAAAAGAAGAGATCAGCCGAAATACTTGGGCTTGACTTTGATTGTAGTCTTTCATACTGATATCATGTGGAGCAGACTGTGTTCAAATGCAAGCGTGGCCTGGCGGCACTGAAGACAATAGTGGCGACACACATGAAACAGAAACTATTGGTCTTATTTTTTCAACCATTCGGTCCTTTCTGTAATCGATGATGGCCTAGGAATATTAACCCTGTCTATTTCACAGTGTGGAAAGTTTGAAAGAATTCGAAATGAAGGAATAAGAACCGTCTTGGGTTGCACACGAGAGACACCAATTAGAATAATGAAGTTTTTATGACTGGGCTGACATCGGTAAAGTCTGGACAGTCATTGGCGCAAGCCAAGGCCTATACGTGAGCTACCAATGATGAAAGGCATCCGCTGCATGGTAATCTGAACGATCTAAGAGGAGACCGATTGAAAAGATGAAAGACATAGATGGCACTAGCTGAAGATACCATCAAGACGGCGGCCTCGGTCAAGCAAATGCACAGAGGGCAGGAATAGGTCGACACGAACACCCACTACAACAAGTAATTATTACGTTAGGAAAAGAATATAAAGTGGTGTAACGGTATGGCAAAGTTAGAGGTACAGCAACTGATATACGAAGACGCTAGATGATGTTGTAGTATACACCGATGGTTCTGTTCATCATGTAAGATTTGGCTGGGGATTTTCAGCTCTAATTAAGGTTGAGATTGTAGCAGAATAAAATAGAGATATTTTCTATCTCCAACTTCAAGAATGAGGATGGAAGTGAAGACAACACTGCAGTCATTCAGTCGGCAAGGCGGAAGGTTCGAAAGGGAATAATATGGCCTGAGTGGATACCAGTCATCAGTTCGCCAGCGTTGCA